CAAAATCACTTTGTGTTGCCTTTTTTGATATTCTGGTCGTTTTTCACGCAAAGCTTGATTCAAATCGATCATTTGTTGTCGGTAGCATTCAGTATTAACGGTTTCGCCAGGTTTTAGCAGCTCATAATAGATCACACCCTTCTGATCCCACCAAACACAGAGCATTGTCTTCCGTCCATAGCGATTTGGCCTTGCAGTCGATATCGATGGTTCGCCTGGAGTTACCCATGATCTTTTACGCTTAGGATTCTCAAAATATATCCACTTTTCATTGCCAGTCACAATTCGATGGAGAAATGATTTTCTTTTGTACCTGGCGAGCAGCATTCCGCAAGTGGTTTTTCGGTTTTCCTGCTGTCATTCATTTAGTTCATGTGGAACCCATTTTCCCATCTTCTAGATCTTTCCCAAATCTTTCAAACGTATGGAGACGGCTTCTCGTGTCACATTTAATTGATCCGCGAGTTGTTGTTGCGTTTGAGCGTCATTCTCATCCAACACTGCTTGCAATTCGCTGTCTTCAAACTTTTTCGGTGGTCTTCCACGTTCTTCGTTTCTCGCGTCGCCACGTTTGAATTTTTTAAACCACTCGAAACACTATGATTTACCAAAAGCATGCTCACCGTAAGCTTCGACAAGCATTCAATGCGATTCTACAGCAGTTTTCTTCAAATGGTAACAGAAAATCAATGCTGTCCGCAAATCGTAACTTCCAGACACAAAATTTGACATGTTCAACTCTATTACAAACTATGCTGTTGTATGAAATTTGTATTGTTGTGAGTTGAAAATCTTTGTCAGATGTCAACAAATGGAAATGGCGCCAATGACGCGGTTTGACGGTAACTACATTGACAGCTAGGGCCATCTATGGGCAAATTCCGGTTTCATATTTACAGACCTGGTATACCTCTGTTATGTGAATGCGTGCGTGCGGGTATGTGTGTGTGTCACAGCAGAGATAAGGACCCTACGGTTCGTCACTGCCGTAGTATTTATCGACTCTGAACCCCTTCTATTGTGTATGTGTAGCTGATGTGATTAAGCCTTATGCCTGAAATGTTTACCGTTTGCTTCAATGCAAGCAAGTACTCTTATCTCGAAATTATTTATTGCATGAAGAATTTCATCAGCATGTGGAGAATGAATAGCGTCGTGCATTCTACGAATCATATTCTCTCTCGTAAGGCGTTCGCAGTATACTAGTACTTTTAGTCTTCCCCACAAATAGTAAACGAGAGAAAGTAGATTTCGTCGGAAATGTCCGATTTTATGCGTTGCATTAATAAAGCCGAGGTCCAAATATTTGACCCCCGTTCAGTTTAGTCTAACACATGTACACACACGTATTCTCTTTCTTTCGGTTCTTTGAGTTCAGTCATTTTGTCAGTAGTGACAAAAAAACTCTACACGCGTATTTCTTACGTACTAACAACGACAAAAATTCATTCGAAATAAAGTTAGCCCTGAATCGATTAAAATCGTCTTGTCTCGTCACATACTTTTTTCACGTCAAATATTGTCAGGCAAAATGTATAATAAAATTCTCGTTTATCAACAATGCCGTATTCAAACGCTAAAGCTTTCGATATGATGTTAATTTTAAGTGAATGTAGTAATCAATTTAGAGCAATTGTAAGATTATGGCGAGAACGATATTCAAATTGCACTCCTCACTCGCACCAAGTTTTTGCTCGCTTAGTTAAACGAATTACCAATAAAAGTATTATTCAACCTGGTCACAATAAAGGTAGACGAATTCAATGCCAAATTAGGGACAAAAGGAGATTCTTGCATCCGTTCAATTACATCCTTACCATTCATTAAAACGTAGAGAGAAACGAAAGAGATTCTGGTACTAGTCTCAGCACGATCTGCCGGATTCTTCACGAAAACAAGCTGCATCCGTACAGAATGACTTCATCAAGCATTGACGAATACCGATTTTAGATACAGACTCTAATTTTGCAATTGGATTCGTCAACAACTGCGAAATTTTCATCACAAAATTTTATTTTCTGATGAATGCACATTTACAAGTGACGTCTCTGTAAATACTTGGAACTGTCGTTATTGGGCACAAGAAATCCTTATTGGCTCCGAGAAATTGACTACCAATATGTTTGGAAAGTCAATGTTTGATGTGGAATTATTGAAAAACGTCGTTGAACCGTTTTTCTTTGAAGAGAACGGTGTTCGGTACGCCAATTTCGTTGAAAATGATTTTCCGCTCTTGCTTGAAAATATTCCTCTACAATTGCACCTAAATATGTTTTTCCAACAAGATGGATGCCCGGCTCATACATATAGAGTTGCCCGTGAACCATTGAACGAAATGTTTCAAGATAAATGGATAGGCAAAAATAATCCACAATTGACCACCACGATCACCGGACCTCATTATTCTGGATTATTATTTGTGAGGAAGACTAAAAGATCTGATATATCACGAACGTCCTACGACAAGAGATATGATTCGTAGAATGCGCGACGCTATTCGTTCTCTACATATTGATGAAATTCATCATGCAACAAATAATTTCGAGATAAGAGTACTTGCTTACATTGAAGCAAACGGTAAATATTTCGAACATAAAGCCTAGTCACATCAGCTACACATACACAGTAGAGAGGGTTTGAAGTCGATAAATACTACGGGAGTGACGAACCGTGAGGTCCTTATCTCTGCTGTGATACATACACATACCCGTACGCACGTATGCATATAAGAGGTATAAACCCGACCGTACAACCTCCACGCAGTACACCTTGGGTAATGCTAATGCGGGCGATACTTTAACGTTCAAGCTTCATAACTCGAAAAGTACCTAATAGAGAAATACTTCATTATAGTGTTTTGCAAAGCTCTCAAGATAAGCTATAAGAATATCTAATGAAAAATGGCAATTTCATTTAAAAAATTGAAAATGACCTTCACCTGACCTTGAAAATGTTATTCAAGGTCATACTAATACCACTATCTGATACGTCACTTAAAACCGTACAACTTTTGTTTGAAACATTTTTTTCTAAAATGTTGCATTTATGAAAAAATTGTAGGACGACATTGTAGTTTCAAACACCCTGTAGGATGATTTTCGAATTATCAAAAGCTAGTAAGTTAATAAAAGTCATGACGCTATTGTAACAATATATTCTTGAGACCAAATAGAGCAAAAAAGTCTAGTACCACTTTTCCTTCCGATAAATATTTAGCGAGATATTGTAAGTTAAATGTTACGTCCTGAAGAAGGAGCGTAACTTATCCGTTCGCAGAAAAGGCGAACCTTAATCATACATGCGTGCCAGGGAGCAGGTCAAGAACCCGACGAGTTGCTTTACTCGCTCGCTGACGTATGACGAACAGTCCGCATTTTCGGTCAGGGAAACGATTCCCTTTACCGGGGACAGGACCATGAGCCGATTGTTGGAAGGGTAGAGGGATGATTCGGAAATGAATTATGATGAAATGAGTTATTAACAAAATTTATTAAAACTAAGGTAACAAGCGGAAAGTAAATAAGTATACAAAGATTTAGACGCGATATAACTTTATACTGAATAGCGATATGTGAATATGTGTATGTGTGTGTGTGTATGGGAAATACTGGGGAGGAAGAAAGGGGAAGGAAACCGATTATGGTGAAGTGAAGTCTGGTAAGAGGGGACGAGAGTGGTCCAGTGAGCTGAGGCGAGAATTAGGAAATTGAGAGAAAAAGACAGGAGAATAAGACAAACAAGGAGTGAGTGAACGTGTGGAAGAGGGTAAAGGGGTATCCGGGAGAGAGGGAATTAAAGGATATGGGAAGATGTAAGGAGGAATAAATGAGAGCGATGAATTTGGATGATAATTAATTCCTAAGGCAATATTAATTATGATTCGGAGATATTGGGCAATTGATTATAAATTTTTTATAATCAATTGCTCAATTTATAAAATTGATTATAAATTGATTGAAATCGTCCGTTTCAAAAATTGAGTCTATGTAGCTAAGAACTCGGTTGATTGTTATTTTAAAGTTAGAGCAATAGCCCACTGAAACCGGACTTCAATATGAAGGAGAAATACAAATAAAAGAGTTCAATCAATGAAAGGAGAATATAAGTGACTTACTATTGCTTCCATGGTGTCTGATAATAGAGTACTGCTGGTCTGGGTTAGATGGATGACCCTTGATTTGCGCCAAGAAGTGGGTTGCATTTTGTTGGGTCGCTCACGGTTTGTCCAATCGTGATTGTGCACAAGTTATGTTGCATGGAATAGTTGTTCAATGACGTTAAGTAAAAGGTCATAGAAAAACTGAAAAGAATTCTGCGTCCAGAGACGAATTATCGCGATTTTTATACAGATAGTCGGAGGTAGAAGGTATCAAGATGGACCTACCAAAGGAAGAGATGAGCCTCGAAGACAGGGTGGAACTTTAAGGGAAACCAATGGTGTTGAAGATCTGATTAGCATTTTTAATCATTGGTCCTGATCGGTTTTAGTGGGTAAAAGTCGTAGAAATTAAGGGTGAGGTTAGGAAGATTTGATGGGAGGAGACGGTTTGTTCTTGAAGATATGGATCTTTAGGTATAGATTGAGTAAGAGGTGGAGAATGAATGTATCTCATAGTTTTGGGCGGGAGTTGTGATTGGCCGAATAAGTTAGGTATGAAAAGTGCGGTGGTGGTGGATTCTTGTGGAATAAAAAAGGTTTTACGGAGTGGGAAGGTACGTACAAGTGCAAGAACGTGAAAGGTGGTGTCTTGGACACCCGGAAGGGCCAGGATGTCATAAATCTGAAGTTGGGATACAATTTTATGACGATCGATGAAGAGATGGTGGCGGGTTATCTGGTGACCGACTCGAAACCTCCTTAAGCTTCATATAAGTCGCTTCTCGGTTCCTCTTCGATTGTTTGACTGATAGGATACATATGGATTCAGATTAGAAGAATGTAGGTTTCGAGCCTCTAGAGCAGGAATACTTCGAGTTATTTTTTTTTTACCGGAGATTTGTTAGCACAGAGTTTCAAATTCTATAGCTCTAAGAGCATCGGACATATCCGGCAAACGTTTCCAGATATCGATTGTTATAGCAAATACTGAACACAGAATGTAGGCTAGATTTTTACGAATAGGCACTGTTTCCTGTTATTAAATTTTTCCGGATTGCCTTTGATTTGACGTGGGCAACTGTTCGCCAGATGTGTCTGTTTCTTATGTCCATTGTTACATTAAGAGAATAGAGGTTCGAGAAAAAAAAATTCTTTAATTGCCCAAAATCCGCAGGACGTAATATAAATATCAAAAAAGTTATCAAGTTTTCCTTAAATATCTCAAAAAATATTAGGCAAATAAAAAAATGTTTTAAACAAAAATTGTTTAAATTAATTGGTAGAAAAAGACGGTGTAATAAAAAATTGGAGTTTCCATTTAAGAAAAATAATAATCAGTAAATATCTCGAAAGTGGTGCCATTTGTAAATAAAATAGTATAGCTGTTTTATGTCTCCCATGAAATCATACAACTTTTATACGAAACATTTTCGCTGAAAATGCTTCGTTGAAGAATTATCGAGGTGTGTTTTTTAAAATGGGACACCCAGTATATCAAGTTTTCTAAAAGTAACAGACCTCCCCTCCTATCTCAGAATCTATGCAATATAGGAAAAAATGACTTAAACAAAAGTCTTAGGGTTCATAAAGTTCTGTTTTTTGTGACCTCAAATTGAACCTTGACCTCAACCTTGAAGGTCATTTGAAGGTCAATTGCGTTTTTTAAATGGGAACTCCTATTTTTTATTACATTGTTTTTTTCTACCAATTAATTTGAACAACTATTGTCTAAAACATTTTTTATTTGCCTAATATTTAAGATATCTGAGGAAAACTTTATCTTTTTCAATATTTAACTTACAATATCGCAAACTATTTGTCGGAAGAAAAAGTGGTACTAGGCTTTCTTGCTTTATTTAGTCTCAAGAATATATTGTTACAATAGTGCCCTGTTTGTTAATTTGTTAATATGATGATTTTAAAATTTCCAAAAGTCAGTAAGTTAACAAAAGTCAGGGTGCTATTGTAACAATATATTCTTGAGACTAAATAAAGCGAGAAAGTGTAATACCACTTTTTCTTCCGAAATAGTTAGCAAGATATCGTAAGTTAAATATTGAAAAAGTTATCAAGTTTTCCTCAAATATCTCAAAAAATATTAGGCAAATAGAAAAATGTTTTAGACAATAGTTGTTCAAATTAATTGGTAGAAAATAATAATATATTGTAATAATAAAAAATAGGGATTCCCATTTAAAAACGCAAGTTGGCCTTCAAATGGCTTTCAAAGTCGAGATCAAGGTCCAATTTGAAATCACAAGAAAACAGAACTCTTTATGAACCCTAAAACTTTTGTTGGAGTCATTTTTCCCTATATTGCATAGATTCTGAGATAGGAGGGGGGTCCGTTACTTTTGGAAAACTTGGTATATATCATATACATATAATATTACATATATAAATATTAATTTTCTTCTGTGAGTACAAACACAATCGTTGAGAAATAATTAAAGACATCTTCAGTATGTTCGTTGTCAATAAGCTTAATTTTTTAAATTATCTTTACCTGTTTTCTTCCACCATATGACAATGACTTTAATTATCGTAGTTAATAACGGCAAAGTGAATTGTAGATTGTCTATCATTGCCATCATGTCATCCCGAGTTCTCAATAGTGCATGTATCGCGGGAATTGCGCCAATGAAAATAAACAGGAGTAAAGAAAATAATGCGCGCAGATCTGATAAAAGTTTATCACAGGAACTTTTGTTATCATTCGGCCATATACCGGCGATATTCAGTGTGAGACGATTCAGTTTAGTTGCCCATTCAAAACCTACATATACAAACAGATTCAGTTTTCGATTAATAATCAAATAGTTATTTACGATTCTTTAATCATTTATATGCATACAAATTTTTTCGTTGATTTATATTTTATGTATCAAATTTTAATAAACACAAGCACCTGCACATGTTTTAGTTTCAACGATATACATGCTGCGTCTTGTAAAGCTACGTATAGGTTAACAATTTATTTTTCGAAGCAGAATATACTCCATAGACTTATGAAAGTGACAAATGTTGCGTGTTACTTCGATCAAAGTTCACAAACCTAGCGTGTTTTATATTTATTGGAAAACTAAATATTTCAACTGACAATGTATATGAGCGCGCACTTTACAATTGTTGTGATCGCCAGATGTTACGATCCCATAAGAAGGTAAAATATTGAGGATGAAATGAATAATAAGAAGCACAAAAATGAATAAAAAGAGAGCACAGGGTCGCAGCTACGAAACATTTTTATGCTTATATCGTTATGTTCTAAGTATAATAACTTTGTCAAAGATTGACGTGGCATAAATTTTGAACACAATAAGTTGAGAATTATTCTAATGAACTTAATTGGTTAATAAAAAGAAGAAATCTTATTTCAATTATAGATAAATCTTAACTTTTTCAATAATATAATATTTCTAAACTGTTAAAAGTCATAATGATTATTATAATCTATTAAAATGAATGCATCATTTTTTTTAAATGTGGTTTCTTGAGTATTTCCGATTATTTTCTTAATTTTTATAAGAATCTTGATACACCGTCCCTGACCTTCATACATATCAAATTTATAAAGTTTTACGTAATATGTATGTCATTACAGTTGCCATACAACAACTATTGTACAAATTTTTTGCCGGCATACTATTGTACTCTTCATACTATTGTCATACTATATTCCGTCTATCTGAATAACAATGAAGCATTTACATTCTACATACAATGTATCTTCGTTTTTTAATATAATCATATATAATACGTACCTTTGCGGGACACAGTTATTTGTACAAGCCGGTAATAAAAATTTTGCATCATAGAGTTTATTGACAAGTATATTATTTTATTTCTATAATTACATTATTTATTTGTACAAATTATATTTGTATAAATTATATGTGTACAAATTATATTAATAATGTTTGTATTTTTATTTATAATTTGTATTTATTTTGTTACTTGTATTTATAATCTTGTTATAATTTATATTAGTTATTTATATTCGTAATGTAATTTATATTTAATTATATTTATACAAATTAAATCAATGTCTTCTTGTACAAAAAAAAATTATTCTTTACAAATATAGAATAAACATAATCATTTAAACCCATAGCACAGAAGTTACAACAACATTGCTACAATGTTGTAATGCTGTAGCAACATTGCAGCAATGTTGCTGCAACTTCTATGTTGTATGGTAATAGTTGTCGTTGACGTTAATACTTTATACTACCTATCGGATTTTTAATCCTATTACGATGAAAATTCGATTATTTTGAAGCAACAAAATCATCGATGTTATTTCGAATGTCTTCGATTGTCTTGAAATGATTCCCAACTGATCCTATAGTGAGACCTTCATTTTGGAGCAAAAGCATTATGAAGCTTTCTGAAAGATGGGCCAAGGTCATTGAACAAAATGATATTATTGCTTTGACGGTATATTTACTTCAATAAAGTTCCCTTTGTGTAAAAATATTGCGCTCTGACGTCTCTTTATATAGAAAATTTGAAACGAATTTTCCGAATAACTTAATAAAAACCCCAAAGAGCAACTATTTATGACATTATTTTTCTCTCTAAATATATTGTACATGACTCGTTATAGAAATGAATACGAAGAATATATTATCAAGATTGCTAAATACGAATCTGGGAGTACGATCACAACATACAAAATGATAGACCCAATATGCCGGTCTCTAACTAAATAAAAAGTAGGTTAGAAAATGGTCGTTTTTTGTCCACAGTCGGGATGTAAATTCATATGATTTCTTATAGTTCTTTGATCAGAATCTACAGAATCATGTAATAACATTCATTTGCTATCAAAGTATGGGGAAAATAGAAAACTTAAAAAATAAGTTATTTATGACTTCCCATTTTTTATTTTAATTTCTTCCTTTCTTATAACTTTTTGGTAGAATCACGTAGTATAATTAATTTATAACATACTTCTCGTCACCTGTACATTTATGAGCAATTATTCATGAAGAAAATTTTTTTGTTCACAGAGGGGAAATATATATATAGATATCCCTGCCCCTTGAGAGGCGGAGGTTATGCCGGACTCTTACCGGCTAAAACCCCCCCGGAGTGCCTTCCAGACGGGTCGGAGTAGAAGGAACCGCATCAGCACTCCTTCCCCAGTCCCGAGGCTCAGGACAAGCCCCTCGCTCTAGTGCCGCACCCCTCTCCTGGATTGCGCAGGAAAGAGGAGCGCAGCATCCCGACCGGGCAGGTTTACCCGGCCGAGTTGGCCATTCTGGTCTCTTTGTGAGAGAGAGAGAGGGGACACTCACTTTCTCTCCCAGCCTCTTTCGGTGACGTTGAGGGGGCGGAGAATGGGACCCGGCCCCAACCGAGTTAGCCACTTCCTTTGCCGTCTAATCTGACGCGCTGGGGAGCGTTTATCAGAGAAGGGGGTGATCCCCCCTACGGCGGCCGATTCCTCCTCTCGTCATCGGACGAAGGCGAGCTCTGGGCGGCCCCGATTACGCGAGTCTGCCCCCGGCAGCCAGTCAAGGTCACTGTCTTATGGGGAGCATCACCTATTTCGTCGGACTCGATGAGAGCGGCACTCCCACTCGGCGGCCCCCTTGCGGGATATGACGTTCCCCGCAAAGGAGATCGCCGCTGATCAGATCTTTTCCCTCCCTAACATGGCTCTGCCAAAGGCCAGGAGAGAGAGGTCGGGCTCTTCGCCACCCACTGCCCGGAAAGAGCCAACAGCACGGTGCTACCGCTGCCCAGAGCTGAAGGACACGGAGTTGCTGGCTCCATGCACGGCATCTCGCCAACATATATTCCGCCGTGTCCTCCAGCTCTGGGTAGCACCGTACTGTAGGCTTTTTTCAAATGCGATGAAGGCCAAAACACCCGTGACCGGTCAGTACCTGCACCAAGTGGAATGTAAGTCCGCGTCCACGCCTGCTCGCCCAATTGGCGAGGCAGAGTTGTTCGGAGCCCGAGTACGTGGGAATCGGACAACATGTCCGGCCACCGTTCGCTTACCCGAGTTCTCGCTTAGGACCTATGGGCTGCTATATCCCTGGCCGTGACTACCTCCTCCGCTCCGGGGATCTCCTTAAGGAGGTTAGTAAACTACATGACGCTTTTGCGCTAGGAGCCCCAGGGGAGGCCGACCGGCCAAGGTCGTCGCCGTCATATAGGAAGTGGTGCGATTGTTCATGAAGAACTTTCGGAATAAGAAAAATATTAATTATTGTTGCATTCGAAATCCTTCCGATATTAGTACTCGGATTTTCTTCTACTCTTAAAATGCACTCATTATTAGGAATGAAAACATATCAGACTTTGCAGTATTTTGATGACGCGTTCTTATTGATGCGCAAAATTTAACTATATGAGAATTCAAAAAATAATTGCCTGAAACCCTGTAGATGCGTAAAGTGTGCTCAAGGACATAGAATCTCGGACTGTCCAAAAGTAAAAATACTCCAGCAAAATGTGCTCTATGTCTAGAAAGTCACCCAATTTTAAGGGCTGCAGAATATACGTAGAAATCAGAGAGAGGAGAAATCCAGGATGAAACAAGCAACGATTGACAGACAAAGAAAACAATAATATGATTAGGAATTCTGCAATACCATCGTGCCTCACAACATAATCTCCTGAAACAAAACAACCAACGATCAAAAGCTATGCAGAAGCCGTCAAACACACAACCCTGAAGCAAACAAATCACGAACATAACACAAGTCAAAAGCTAGAAAAAAATATTAGAAACTCAAATAAACAAAATTGACTGTCTCATTCAACACATAGGCTCCGTACTGGAACTCATTATTACACTTATTAGTAGGCTACCTTCATAAACTTTCTGAAAATTGTCACATGGAACATAAATGGCTTTGCTCCAAACAAGCAAGAGCTAGAGATGTTTAACAAAATGAATAAATTAAACATAGTCTTTCAAAAGAACGGTCGGAGGTGTCCGTCACCGATTTGGATGAGCTTTGGATATGTTATAAAGCATCAAAACATATTAGACCCATATTTTTTATGTGCTTATCTCGAGGTTTAGGGGGTGAAACCACCCCTCGAAGAAAAGGGAGGTTTTCGTTTTTAGCGAATATGTCGAAATGCACGAGTCATATGAAAAAATGGTTTATATAAAAGTTGTAAAGAATTTTATACTCTTTGCAACTATGTACTCAGATTTTGCAAAATTGCAAAATTTTGTTTTCCCCTCCTCTTCCTCATTACCTACGCAAATTTTTAAATTCTTGTTAGGATGGAAATAAAGAGTATCAAATACCAAATTCATTCATGTAATAATAAAAAATGGGAGCCATTAATTTAGTTAATATAAAGATGATAACATGGAACTATATACAGGGTGAAGAAAAAACCCCGAGACACCTGAAAATTTCGAAAAATATACACTTTATAAAAAAATGTTTCAGACGAAAGTTATAGCGTTGAAAAAGATCTATTTACCGATCTTAACAATTTGACCTTGGCGTCATCAAGGTCAGGACAAAGTCACCCCGGATTTTTTAAATGGGACCCCCCATTTTTTATTGCATATTCTTATAGCCCTTCTTCAGACCTTTTTAAAGCACTATGGTTTTATTCAATTTGAATAAGCTGTTCCGAAGTTATCGAGTTTTTTAAAGTAAGATATCTAGCCAACTAAGACAAGATCGGAGGATGATCCGGCCAACTAAGGCAAGGTCGTAGGATGATCCGGCCAACTAAGGCAAGATCGGAGGATGATCCGGCCAACTAAGGCAAGGTCGGGAGTTGTCCGGCCAATTAAGATAAGATCGGAGGATGATCCAGCCAATTCGTTAAAATAATTGTGGGACTAACTTCCAGGCGTTGGCTCCTATTGGATTGTCTTAATTTCGTTGATTGATTTATTTCAGTTATTTATTTATTTGAACTATTCTGCTGTTCGATATTTATTTCTTCCATTTACTCATTTAATACTCATTACAGTTTAGTGAATCGCAAACTCGACTGAAATTCCTCTATTTTTTTGAAAAT